TATGATGGCTAGCTAACTGGGTCAGAGCATCTCCAAAACTGTAGCTCTTGTGGGGTGTTCCCGGTTTGCAGTGGTCAGTACCTATCAAAAGTAGTACAAGGAAGGAAAAGCGGTGAACCAGAGACAGGGTCATGGGTGGCCAAGCTCATTGATATACATGGGGTGTGAAGGTCGGCCCGTGTGGTCTGATCCAAGAGACGACCTACTGTAGCTCAAATTCCTTAAAAAATGAATGCTGGTTCTTATAGAAAGGTGTCAGGACACACAGTGCATCACAGTTTGTTGGTATGGGACTGCATAACAGTATGACCACCAGGGTGTCTAGGTGGTCAGAATGTTATGGCTGATCAGTGTAGTCTAAAAAGGGCTGCATATTTCCCCCCACCCCTGAAAATAGATGAAGAAGGGCTTTTCTCCTTCTTAAATTAACACCAGCGATTGCCCAACCAATGACAATTTGGTCAGAAAGAAGCATATCGACCAACCAACCAGAAGCTGTCAGTCCTAGAAATTACTTAGCTTACAGCTAAGGCTGGACATTTGTGTGACTTGTGTGTTTGCACGGTGACTGCCTCACGTATTCTTTGAGTATTGATTGTGCAAGTTAACGTGAACATGTGTTTAAAAGGCATGTATATCTCTGGCTTTAGCCCAAGTATGGTCAGGAATGATAGTTCTTAAAGCTGGATGATGTTGTGTTGTTAGGCAGATGATTGTAACTGTTCCACAATAAATCATTTGAAACCAATGCTTTGTGTCATTTTGGCAGGTACGTTTGTAATAAGCAGGATACTTTTCTGGGTTAAGTCTGGATTCAAACCATTGGAGCTTAATATAATGTCATAACATGAACACACATTTTTGATAAAGATTCCTTAACTTTGGATATTAAACTATTGTGACCTTGAAATTAAATTAGAATCAACAGTAACCAGCAGTACAAATACAACACACTACAAACTATATTAAAGTTAGAATAATAAAATAAGAAGCAAATAAATAAATGGGTCTATTGCATGGGTCTGTTTGCAGAAAGTTCCTGGGCAGGGGGCTGTTTAAATTATAGGAAAAAAGACAATGGTCAATTGGTGCACTTCCAGTTAATCAATTCCATTAATTTGCTAGTGTAACATAATTAGACTATTCGTCAGCACACGGCAGATCTGCTGAACATGCAAAAAAATTGAAATTTCCCTTCAGGCAAGCATACAAGTCAGGACACCCTCCCAGCTGTTCTGATATGGAAAATAATGGACTCAGCAGAGGAAATGTTACTCGTCTTCAAACTGTGGAGATGTCTGACTCTAACTTAGACATTATTTTCTTGTATTGTGACACCTTTAGAGGAAACTATACATAGTCAGCAGCATTTCTGCAAATTATTCTGCTGTCAGTTATTCTTTTTCTGGTGCTGTGAGGGACTTGAGTTTCCATGAGTTCAACAAGCAGGCTGTACACCACGCTAATTAGCTCTTTGTCTGTATAATTTGTAAATCATTGCAGCTTTATTGACCCCCCTACACTTAAGAAGAGATATGATTTGATGTGGAATGGCCCTGTGATTGGGCAGAGGTGAATTGCTGTAGCTCTAGATGTTATTAGCCACTTTTAATGGGAACAGTGATTAACCACACACACACGCACACACACACACACGCACACACACACACACGCACATACTGTCAGCGCCCCAGAGATGGCAGAAAATCACATTTTGTGTCACTGTTTGGAATAAAGAGCTTAAGCAAAAATTCAACTATTTAGAGCCATTCAAAGATAATGTTTGAAAAATGGTGTGATAAATGCCGTGATATATATATATATATATATATATATATATATATCTTTTATATCCTGAGTGAAAATGAATGTTTTAAAAGTCACCAGTTACTGCTGCTTTTCTTCAGTAAGCTGTTTTTTTTTTTAAACTGTCACGTAAACGAGACACTTGGTTTCCATAATCGGGTTAGGGGATTACAGAAACCTAATTTACCACATATATTGGTGGTTAAAATTGACACAGTTTGTCACAATAGGCCTACATAAGTTAGTATCATGGATCACGTTAGCTTGGGAAGTAAGCCGCTGTTACTGACTAACATATCCACTCAGATAGTATTTTGCTATGGATTGCAAGCTAGCAAGTTAATGTTAGCCAGCCAGCTGCAACCCGGCCTAGCTGAATAGCTGTATCCGGCATCAGCCTCCTCACAACACCAGCCGATGCAGTAAAATACAAACAGAATTTGCCAGTAGACTGCCCCGGCAGTCTGTATGAAAGCAGACAGTATTAGCTAGCAATTTGTCTACATTAGTAAGCAAACTAACATTAGCCAGCTAAAACCACAATATCACAATATCACAAGCCTTTCAGTAGCTTGCTGTAACAGTTGACTTTGTGTTGGACTCATTTCACTCATCCATGCCCATCCAATTGAAATGAATGTTTTAGAAGTAACCAGGTTACAGCTGGTTTTCTCCAGTAAGCTGTTTTTTAACTGACAAGTAAACGAGATACTTCGTTTCTGTAATCTGGGTAGGGGAAAAGAGAAAACCACATACACCGATCAGCCATAACATGATGACCACCTGGTCACCCTGGTGGTCATCATGTTATTCAGCCCCATAGCAACAAACTGTGATGCACTTTGTGTTCTGTACCCTTTATATCAGAACCAGCATTAACTCTTTCAGCAGTTTGAGCTACAGTAGCTCATCTGTTGGATTGGACCACACGGGCCAGCCTTCACTCCCCACGTGCATCAGTGAGCCTTAGCCACCCCTGTCTCCGATTCACTGACTTTCCTTCGTTGGACCACTTTTGATAGGTACTGACCTCTGCAGACCAGGAACACCCCACAAGAGCTACAGTTTTGGAGATGCTCCGACCAAGTCTACCCTATTGTTGGACTCATTTCACTATTTTATATTTGCCCATCAAATTGAAATGGATGTTTTAGAGGTTTTCTCCAGTGAGCTGATTATTATTATTTTTTTTAAACTGACATGTAAATGAGATACCTGGTGTCTGTAATCAGGGTAGGGAATTCCCATGTTGCTTCCTTTTGGAGAATGCTGATTTCTCTGCCCTGTATATGCTTGATAGGATTTTACACATGTTACAGGCAAAGTAACAGTGTGGCCAAAAGAAAGGAGAGATCATTACATGGAGCATGGCATCCTCATATTTTAACTAGCACTGTCCAGTCCCACTTAAACTAACATAGGGTACTACAGTGCATGTAAACCTGTTCTCAGATTACCCACGTAACCTGGTTTCTCTAACCTTGTTATTTAAGTGCATGTAAACTCAGTGCAGATGGTGTGAACCCACAGTATCGTAGTCAGCATGTTCTGCACGCTGTATTTTGTACCTTCTATCTGAGATTATTTTTAGCATTATTTTAGTTTTAATCCTTAAGATTTTCACGAAATGTAACTCCAACAGTGATACTATTTATGGGGAGCATTTTTTTCTCCAATAGCCACTGATCTATTTAAATTAGTAGTAACCTCTCTATATTTTAGCTTTCAGTGATACTTTGTGCTGCTTTTGGGCAAGATTCAGATTGTCTTCACACACAAGGAAGTAGGATGAAGTCACCTTGCTCATTGATGGCTCTCTACAGTTTTGTCAGAGCTGTATTAAATTACTGCTAATGTGGACCCAACATTTCCTACTGCTGCTGCTTTATGTTAAAAGCGTTCAAGTGGCAAAGCATGAGGTAGTTTTATTATGAAGCAGTCACAAGCTGGAAAAGTCCCAGTGAGCTGTTCGATGAACCGTAGCATGGGACGGACTCTTACTGCACACTCCTTTTACTGTGCATTGCTGTCGTGTGGAAAACTATTACATATGCAGAGTGTTTACCTGCATGCATCTAAAGCCCGCTCAAATGTGATTGGTCAACACTACTCGGACTACAAACCCAAGCCAAAAAAAAATCTTTGTCCCTTGCCTACAGATTCTACATTTATATGAAAAAATCTGTTTATAGAGATCATGTATAGAGATACAACATTTCCTCTTCTTATGTTGTGATTTTGACAGAGTAATTGCTCAAGGCATGTTTGTCTGCACCCCCTCCCCAGTTTCCAGGGGCAGATCTAGATAAATATTCATGGGGTGTCCAGAGGGTGGCGTGGAGACTTTAAGAGGTCATAATATGGCAGATCTCGCCATAGACGATCTGCCAGATTTCCAGGTGGCAGCCGGGACGGCCGGGTATTTCTTTTTTTTTTTTTTAGGGGTGGCAGGTAGATTGGTTTCAAACAGAACTCACCTGTTAGTCAAACATACCTGCTGTTACCATCAGTAGCTACAGATGTAACCAGATCAAGCAGGAATAAAATTGTATTAATATAAGTAATAATCCTTACAATAGAAATACAGCAGAAGAAGAACTGCTGTATCCGTTTACAGCATAGCCACACAAATCGTCCAGTGTGCTAATAGTGAACTCAGTGGCTTTTGTCTTCTACATCATGTACAGTAGCATGCATAATTTTCTGCAAATCCCTCATGTGTAAGTATACAATGTAAACTAGTGCAGGAGGCACTGCATCACATATCAAAGTCCTTGAGCAAGATACTATACCCCAAGTGGCTCCTGATGTTGTGCTATCCCGATGTGTATGAATGGGTGAATGTGGCATGTAATGTAAAGCGCTTTGATTGGTCGGAAAAGCGCTATATAAGTGCAGTCCATTTACCATTCTACGGAGTCTGCCATGTTTCTACAGTAGCCCAGAACGGACAAATCAAACACTGGCTGTAGATTGGGCCTTTCACATTTTTTAGCAAGTTTTGCAGCCACTGTAGTTTCTCCTGCAGGCTTGAGGAGGGTGAGGCACGGGAGCTGCAATCAGCAACTTCAACAATAAATCCTAAATAAATTTTAATAATTAATTATAAAAACATTTCCCTGGACTAGTGCTTTTTATCTCCCACTTTTAATGATTTTATTCAGACACTCTCTTTGTGTCTTTCCCTCTTGCAGATTGACCCTAAAGTTGCCTTTCCCAGACGTGCTCAACCCAAGGTAAGAAAAGTCTTTCCTCCTTCTTAAGCTGTCATTGCTGTCAGAATGAGCTGGTCTGGTGGTTTTAGTTGTATCCATTTCCAGACATATTGATAAGATATATTAAAAATCTTTTTTTTAAAAGACAGAACATGTAGAGTTTTTTAAGTGCCTCCCACTTCCTTGAGCTGAAACACAGGCGACAGTAAAGATGTGAGACAGTTTGTTTAGATATGTGTGTGCTGCATGAGTGCATGCATCCAGTAATTCACTTTTTTTTCCCCCCAAGGATGCTGTGTGATTGAATTCAGAGCTTCTTGTTGTGCAGAAAAAGCTGTTGTCACAGAGAGGCAGAGGCTGGGCGCTCAAAGCCAGACAACGTGCTTTCTTTAGGACGGGATGTTACTGTAGAGATGACTACCAGCAAGGGACGTGTTTCCTGCTACGCTCTGCTGTTTTTTGTCTACTTGAAATACACTTGTTTAAGTCAAAGCTGGCAGTCTGAGCAGCATTATTAGTGAACGTTTAGAAGCCTGGAAACACCACAGCTTTTATATTCAGTACATTGTGCATATACAGCGGCAAAGGTTTAATACTTGTCTCCTGTGTGAGCTGTGTTGGGTGGTCAGGGGGGGAAGCCTTTGCATTTCTAATTTGAATAAACATGAAATTGACTCAAGGACATCCACAGCGATAAAGAGGAGTGCAGACAGCCAGGTTGTGAAGCCAGCAGCTGTGAAGGAACTGCGAGTGTGTAGAGCAGAGCACAGTGGAGGATGGCTGAAGGTTAAACGGGACCTGCATTTGTCTTGTGGACTCTCTACTTTAGGGCAAACTTTTGTGTGTGTGTGTGTGTGTGTGTGTGTGTGTGTGTGTGTGTGTGTGTGTGTGTGTGTGTGTGTGTGTGTGTGTGTGTGTGTGTGTGTGTGTGTGTGGGGGGGGGGGTTGTTGGTCTTTTTGAGATTTTGAGAAATTTGAGATCACTATTATGTATCATCTGTTATTAGGGTTTCATCGCATCTCACCCATTGAAGCTGTTGACATTTTCAGTTGTTTAAAAGATACCAAAACTGTCACTAAAATTCAGCACTTCACTCAGAAAGTTTCTACTCTGATGGAAAAACATGGCCTGGCATGGCATGGCAATTTTCAAAGGGATCCCTTGATCTCTGACCTCAAGATATCTGGATGAATATGGGTTCTATGAGTACCCACGACTCTCACCTTTTATACACATGCCCACTGTTTGCTAATCCATGCAAGGGTATAAATGTTTTATTTGCATAAATTGGGAATGACTGGAAAGCTGAGACACATACTTCATGCCACCCCTGCATAAGCCAGTGCAGCACTTGTGCTACCCCAGTCAAAACAGCCTGGAGAGACACCCCTGGCTGACTCAAACCCATTTGATGGTTCCAGCATCAAGTCATCCAGTTTTGGGAAAAAAACGACTTGACGAATTCTGGGAAGACTATGATTTTCATTCTTCACCATTTTCTAATGTTTTATATACTAAACTACTAACTAATTGATTGAGAATACAATATGCAGATTAATCAATAATGAATATAAATATATTTGCATCTTCAGTATTTTCCTACAGCTGTATCACCAAAAGATAACACTGTGTGTTCCTCAGAAAGCAGCTGTACAGATGACATTCTCTGATGTCGTCTAAATCAATAATGATGAACAGTTGTTCCATGAATGTGGTACATGGCTGTAAGTAATGTCCTAGACTACATTCAGAAACAAGAGGAAAGGAACAGCTAAAGACAGCTACAAATTAATTCTGTCTCTATAATGGCTCCTGTAAACACACAGGGAATTAGTTTTAATGAAAAGAGAGACGATTATTATAGTTATTTACTTATCTTTTGTTTTCACATTTTTCGTGAGGATTGTAGTTTCTCTGACACACTTCACAGCCTGTCGTCAACTCCAGCTGTGTTCAGTTAGTTGCAGTCTTAAACTGTTTGGACTAAGATATAGCGTAACCCTCACAGTACGTTCAAACTAATCTGCAACCTCAACATCCTGGATCAAACACAATTTATTTTTCTGTGTGGAACTCATTGGGATGAATAATATCAGTAAATAAAACTACTAGCTGAAAGACTGAAATTTGTAATGATGTAAAAATATATAATGCATAAACTGTACTTAATGTGGAACAGACATCTGGCTGACACCCGATCAGCTTAATAAAGTCAATATCGGCCCTGATACTGATCCAGCATATTGGATTTGTCCATCCCTAAGGAGATTTCTGATCTTAGAGATATTTCTGAGATGGTAAAAGCCGACTGTAATGATGCAGCTAATGTGAGTATGAAAAAAAAAAACTGCACCCACCAAAAACTCTGATTGTAAAAGCATACTTTGAATAGAATAGTCTTGCTTATTAACAGTTTTTGATGCTTGTGTGATACTTTCTCTTCAGGCCAAACTCAGACTGTGAAGTTGAGAACAGATGTGCTCCTGAGCTGAAAATCAAACTTGCTGCAGTGGTGGTCATACCTGCCATTATATAATTGTTCTTCTTGCTGGTTCTTCTGGGTGTCATATTGCTAAAGGGAACAGATAAGCCTTCCGGTTACTGTCTCATTTATATTTTTCTTATGATAAGTTAGCCGTGGCCCCTACAAAAACCTAATGAATCAAATTTCTCGATTTCTCAATGTCTCTCACATCAAAACACTAACAAAAGATGAAGCTGGATGAGGTGGTAAAGCAGCGTGGGGATCATAGGAGTTGTTGTCTTCACCCCCATTGCTGTCATTGCAATCAGCATTTCCCGGTTAAGATTCCTTCAGCGTTCATGGTTCAGGAGGTTTCTACCGGGAGCCCAATTATCCACAGAGGTCTCCTCCTCTCCAAAACAAATGGACCCGCTGGCTAAAACCACTTAAAACACTGACAAAGCAGTCCACCTTAAAAATCACTGTTTCTCCCACGCTGTTGGACAGACAAAGGACGTCCCGGAGGGGCTGTGAGCCGAGCTGCTGCTAACGTTAGCTCAGCTTGTTTCTCTGATAACTTAAGATCCAGACGTCCGATGACTAAAATCCTTCATCTGGTTCAAATCTAGAGTTAAAAAGCACCAAGATCTAAACAGTGGATGGTAACAATGTGGCTTCAGACTGGATAAACAGTCAATGTATGACAGCTTCTGGCAGACAACCACAACGCTGACGCAGGCACAAAGGGGATATGACGCCATAGACAGCCGACCACTGAAGTAGCGTTACCTGAATAAAATGACACATTTCTCTGAGTTTGAACATTGTTGGAAACATTTGGGATAATGGAAGTACACAACTCAACTATGTGTAGAACATAGGTCTAGTGTTTATAGACATCTATAGTCAAGATTAATGTTCTTGGTAATTCCTCAGTAATAGGACATTGTTTTATTTGCAGTAAATTGAAGCAATTGCAATGTGAACTTGGCTTTCCTGCTGCCTGTAACTGATACAGATAAAGATTACTGGAGTAATAAACCAACTAAAAGTGTAAAATATTTCCATGGTAGTGAGTAACCCTGCTACTGTACTACCGCCTGGACTGGTTCTTGTTTTGTCTCTTGGAGCATGTCGAGACAGTTTTCAAAGAAGCCCTAGTGCAACTGGTCATCCTCAGTCCTGCATCTCTTTCCACAGACATGTCCCGCTTCACTGCCTCACTGATCCCAGTACTGCGACAAGGTCACACTGTGGTTTCCACTGTTGGAGCAGCACCTAGCCCAGACCGCACAAGCTCCAGTGGAAGTGGGTGCTGCAGTCAGTGCACCAGTACCTACTCACTGAGTGACATTAATGAGAAGAGCAGTTCAACAAATGGGCTCAAACAAAGACAGAGCCCCCTTTCCTCTCCTTCTGGTGTCTTTTTTCTCTCTGCATGGGAGAAGATGTAACCTTTCCCCTGGTGCTTGTTTCGCCCACACACATCCTGCTGCTTCAAACAGAGCGAACAGACAGGCCAGTAGAAACCCCTCTTGGATGAGTGGGATATAGGGGTTGGGAGGCTGCAGGTGAGGATCATTTGACAGGTATAGATGGAGTGTACACAGGCTTTGATAGTGTGGAGGAATACTCATGTTTAACCAGGAGTTTGATTGTTTTATCCGTCATAGCCATCACATTGTATGAATACACCATATGTAAATACATTAATTGTTCACCTTAAAGAGGCACTCCACACTAAACAATTTTTTTTCACTGTAAACTTTCATATAGACTCTTGTTGGTGTATTATGCTTAAAAATACAACAATAGACATGTTGTTTGTAAAAAATATGCTTAATTCTGTCCCTCCTTAACCATGACGTAATATGCAAGATTTTGATTTCCTTTTTTGTATATATTGACCTCCCTGACTGGAGCTGGAGCTAGCTGTCCAATATTCAGACCCTGACAAGTTATTTGTTCTTCACATGTTCCCTCTGTGTCCCACATTGACAGTATCCACCAATTGAAGCAAAAAACAAGGAAATCGGAAAGGAAATGGCGCTCCTCCAAATTATTAGAACATCGCTCAATTTGGCAAGATAATCTTAAAACTTATAGAAAGGCCCTCCGTAATGCCAGAGGAACCTATTACTCAGCACTAATAGAAGAAAATAAGAACAACCCTAGGTTCCTCTTCAGCAATGTAGTCAGGCTGACAGAGAGCCACAGCTCTATTGAGCCACATATCCCCATAACCTTAAGTAGCAATGACTTCATGAGCTTCTTCTATAATAAAATTATTACTATTAGAGAGAAAATTAATCCCCAAATGCCCTCAACAGGTATCACTGACTCTCCAGGTTTAGGAACCTTAACTAATGTAAACTCAGATATATATTTAGAATGTTTTTCTGCTATCAATCTTCATCAGTTACCTTCAATAATTCCTTCATCGAAGCCATCAACCTGTCTTTTAGACCCCATCCCAACTAGGCTGCTTAAAGAAGTCGTACCCTTAATTGGCACTTCTTTACTAGATATGATTAATCTTTCTTTATTGTCAGGATA